TGATGATGATATGCCTATAAGTTCGCCACGTGAAACACCTAAACAAACAATTTTATCTAGTACCTACTTTACTTAGCAATTAAGTACTGCCTTTTGTGCCAAATATGATTAAAATTCATTTAAGTATTACAATACTAATCCTCCTTAAAATTTCTGACTTCCTAAAAGAGGACAAAGGAACTAGAAAGGTCATTCGCACTTTCAATTTATTTCTAATTTCAAAGTCTACTTAAGTAATGTATCTACCTGATGATATTATTTGTAATGATGGTGAAAATTTACCTGTGTTAAATCAGGTATTTGTCTCGCTTTTGAAATAAAACCTCAATTTAGAAATAAACTGGTCGAAATCCTTAGAAAACGGAGCATATTATATAAAAGCAGCATCCACAAAATTATTACGAGTTACCAGTCATTCGGATAGTTTCTTATTGCTAAATAATAATTATTTAGATGAAAATAGCTCCCTCTTCTTTTCGACGTGTACTGCTGAATGTTTTATTACACTTAACACTTCTAACTTGCAGAAAATGATGATTAGTTGCAACAAACATTCGTTGAATTGTCTCAGGGAAAACCAATTAGCAAATTAAAAGTACCTTGCAATATCTAAATAAGTACCTATAAGTAATCGCTTCTATTGTTGTAAAGTATGTCAAATTAATTGGCATTAGTAATTCATATTGCATTTTTCAAAGGGGTCACTACTTCGGAACTATCTTTCAATTTCCAATTTAAAAAGTTATTTATGTTTTTGATTTGTTCCAATTTCCAATTTCTGTAATCATTTATAAGAGCCGTTCATATAAAACAAACGTCAAGCAATTTTCATTTACTTATTATGTTATGTATATGTATTCTGTGTTTAAAATATTTTTGTTACAGCAAAAGGCTTAAAAGTAAAATCAAAAATTTTCATTACCTTATACAAAGAACAAAAAAGTATTACAATGAATTGAACAAGTAATTAAATAAAACTTTATTCTACCAAAATTGTTGCTATCTATATGATTTGCTGTTACAAATGATTGGGGCACATTAGAACTTCGTATAATTGCCGAAGGAAGCATTTTAAAGCAGTATTTCTACTTTTTACCGTGGAGACTTCAACGTTAGATCAAGCGAGTAACCCGATTTTGAGCGCTTCACCTACCAAAGAATATGCAACCATCCGATCACGCTAGTATTGAGTGTAGTCAAACGCGTTTATGTAAAAATAAGTTTATAAAAAAGCGGTAATAAAACAACATTACTTCAACTACTTATTTTGTATCATAATTAAATTTTCTATAGGTGTCTTTACAGCTTGGTGAAGTGAAGTGAAACAAATGTCAAGATTTAATATCAAGTAAAAAAATTAAAATATGATCTTTCATACCACTTTTTAATGCCCTGGTTAAAATAAGAAATGAAGACAGCCTATTTATACAAAATCATACATTCGATGAAACCTTTAAGCTTTTTCTTTTTGAAAAATACTTTTTAAATCAATCATAAATAATTTACACAAATATTTAACGATATAAGGTAGTAAACTTATAATTAATAAATATTTGTAATAAAACAATTACTCTTTTACAATAGAAAACCAAAAACTAATTTAAAGTCGCATTTGAGTATTTGGGTACGAACGGGTACATACTCTTTGGCCCCGTGTAAACTATTTTCATTATTAATTCAACGTATTTATAAAAGACTATTAGTATTGTTTTATAAGTTAATATTAATAACTACAGTATTGAGCACATTATAAGGAATTGTAGCTTTTATGCTACATTTAAAAAAACAGAAATGGCGAAATGTAATAATGAAAATATATTTCAATAGATCATAGAAATACGTTATGTATGAGGCATTTAGATACTTGTTAACAACAAAAGTCTTCTATATATTATATTATTTAGTAAATTTCAATACTTAAGTATGTTTAATGTATACTAATGCCACTTTATTTTTACTTTTCTAAGTTACAATGTTATTTTAGGGGTGTAATTAGTATGTGATCGTCGTATCAAGTCGGTCAAAAAAAAATCAGGATCAAAAGTGGAACGGGTGCCTCCTGAAAGACCAAAATATTTCTCGTATCAGGTAGTGGCAAAGGTGGCTATTAAATTAAAAATATGTAACGAAAAACCGGAGTTTCAGGTTTCGGTTTTCACATTATATCCTTCCTCATATTTGATATAGTGGGTAGCTGCAGCCAGTTCGGAATTGGTGCTAAGCACACCGGTCAAAAAGCCCCACATTAATGACATATTTTATGCTCATTCAAGTCTAAAAAGGAATTTAAACAAGAAACAAACGCCAGACTTACGTGATTCATTCTATCCAAGCCAATTGAATTTGACATTGTAAAAGATCGATTAGTGGCAATATTTATCCTTACATGTAAATGTTAAAATTAACCACTATGGGTCAGCAGATATTACCACTTATTATGCCTAGTACTACCTGGGATTTAAAGAAAGATTGGTACAGATTCTTTTGAAATTAAAAGGAATGTATTTATAATAGTCAAATTGAGATTAAATCAATAATTGTAATCGTTATTTATCTCAGAAACTATTTTAAATTCACTAAAAACTACAGAATCTAATGAAATCAATAATAAACACAAATGCATTTTAAATTTAATATTCTTAGGTCCAATATATCAAAAGCTCATTGTAAAATAAATTAAAATAGGCAGAAAAGATATTGTAAATTTAATATTTGTTCTTTCAAATGGTTAACTTAATGAATTCAGAGTGAAATGGAAGACTTTTGGAAAGCAGTGACAGGAAATATTGAACCAATATTAAGTTAGAAATTAATTTTTGATTTGGAGACTACATTTTTTGTCATATAGGTGTATGATTCTTTTGAAATAAAAATATTTTTTTCCCATGTATACGTATACCAATATGAAACACTGTTGAACTGATTTTAGGAAGAAAAAGACAAATTTCGTTTGTAATTAATCACATAAGGAATATTATATAATTAATTACACGATTACAGGATTATTGCTATTAATGACTCGTTTTAGTATTGTGATTAGAACCTAATTGGCTTATGTTTCAGTGCCTTTTTTTTAATATAACCCCTGTTATATTGTGAATTATATACCTGCTCGTGGAACTTCTATGTTCTATAGCGACAACAGGTCTGCGGCCACTCTTCAACAATAGTACAATTCTACAGCGCTACGTTTATATAGAGAGCGTACTATAGCACCAAAACAACCTGCTTCCAGGTCAGGACTTGTACAAACAAAATTACCCATATGTTTAGAAAAAGTACGTAAAATAAAGAAATACACAGACGTACAGCGGACATAGAAACTCAAATTGTAACTTCTTCTACGAACCAATTCTAGTATTAGCTGAAATATCGTTCACCTATACCTAGTGTTTCATGAACTTCCTGACGTTGTATTGTTTTTTCTTGTTCTTGCCCTGTGCGTGCTGCAAGAACAAGAAAAATTTCCCTTAGCAAGAGCAAGATTTCTTATCTGGTATTTAGCAAGAATAAAAGGCGAAAATGAGCAAGCTTGCAGTAGTTAGTGGTTTAACGTTTAAATCTGTGATTCTATACTTTAGCAAAATCCTTTTATCACAAATTTAGACAAATCAGACTTGGGGACTTTAGGAAGGGAGTCAGACAGGTTGCACACTGTCACCGCTACTTTTTAATCTATACATCGAAGACGCGACCGACATCATTAAAGACAGTACAACTGTAGGGATAGATATGCAGGGGTAAAAGATTAGTATGATTTGATTTGCAGATGATATAGCAGTATTAGCATCTGGCTATTAGATAGCTTTAAATAAAATGGAAGCGGTATTGACAAAACAGTATTGTATGAAAATAAATAAAAGTAAAATAAAAATACTGGTATACAAGGGGAGAAACAGTTGGGAAAGAGCGAACATAAAGATAGGAGACGAAAAATTAGAAGAAGTTTTAGATTTTAGGTATCTAGGAAGTCAGATAAGTCAGGACGGAAGGAGTACTAGGGACATAAAACAGAGGATAGCGCAAGGTCGAGTCGCCTTTAATAAAAAGAAGTCACTTCTATGCTTGCGAACAGTTAAATTAAATTTCGAAAAAGTTTGGTAAAGGTGTATGTTTGGAGCGTGGCGCTGTACGGGTGCGAAACATGGACAGTGGGCGCGGCAGAAAAGAAAAGGTTAGAAGCGTTCGAAATGTGGTGTTACAGACGAATGATGAAGATACCCTGGATAGAGAAGTTAAGAAATGAAGAGGTATTAGAAAGAGTAGGAGAATAGGGGACTCCATAGAAGTCAGTAACAAATAGGCGAGATAGGTTTGTAGGACACCTTCTTAGGCATGAAGGTCTAGTCAGAGACATATTAGAGGCAGAAACAGGCGTTAGGAGGGGTAGAGGTAGACCTAGATTGGATTACTATTCACAAATAGTTAAGGGCATGGGTTGTTCCAGTTTTAGGGAAATGCGAAGATAGGAAAGAGTAAAGGTGCGTGTCCAACCAATCTTAGGGTTGACGACCTTATCATGATGAGATTTGGGGACTCTCCAAGCCAGCAAGAACAAGAAATGATACAAAGATAAAAATCAAGCTAGCTCATCAGTCCAGCACAACCTAAAGTAAACCTTTGGCGCATAGCACTTCATACAAATCGATCAGAAACACGATTGTTACAGAAATGAAAAAGTGTGATAATCATAAAAAGCAGTTTTGATTTTACATTAAAATGAAATTTCAGTGTGTTAATGGTTATAGACTTCACCACCTACTATTTATCGAGTAAAACAACATGAGAAATTTGATCTGTTTTTGTCGACGATTCGGATTGGTGAAAAACCGAATTAAAATTACGCCTCGTATTTTCCACTGACACCGTCCCTGTTCTTTTCTTTTTGTCGCTAATAACCGTACGTACGTACGTACGTACGTAGGTACGTAGGTACGTAACGCTGGGCTTCGCGAGGCCAAACAACCGCTCGTCGGTCAGCTCACGCTTTACAAGAAGCGATCGCTCGCGGTTGTTGGCTATTCGAAAAGTGGAAAACATTCACGCTGCAGGATTGCGTTCACAAACCTCCGAAGAATAAACAGTGGAACAGCACCAACCATCAGAGTACCACTACAACAGTCGTCGGTCTTATACGTTACGTACCTTCACCGACTATTCGCGTGGAGCTTACGGCCAGAGCAGAGTGTGGTGTCGTTGTTGTTCCGTCCTCTGGCACTTCTTCGTACTTTTTAGGCCAGTGTTGTGATATATATATACAGCGAAAGAAGCACAAGCTGATTACATAGAAAGAATGCGCACTATTGGACCCGCGACCGTCTTTTCCTCGGTCTCAGGCCACGAGCTTTCGGCAACCTGACGACGACGTGGTGACCGCCTGGTCAGGTGTATCATCAACTTCATCATTACCATCTACTTCCATGGCCTGCTGTATGCTCAGCTAGCCATTAGAAGTGCCGTTTTACGTTTTCTTATTAGCGATTTGTATACTTGTTCTATGTACTTATAAAGTATCTTCGGTTTTTGTTTGTGTGTTTCTCTAACTGTTTGTTGTTGTTAAAATCTCTACATTATGAAGTGGACCAAGATGAATTTACGTTTCGTTTATGTGTTTGTTGTACTCTTCTTATGTTGTGTCTTTTGTACTGGTAGTTTTATTGAGATTCCTGAATGTACGGGAAAAGAAGGATGCCTCATTCCAACCAAAAATCTAACAGGTAAGATAACAACTCCTTCAAACTTTTAAGGAGTAATAATCTCAAAAAATATTAGAAGCAATGTAATAAAGTTTGGAATTTTACTTTACAATTATTCATATCTTTTTTCATACGTTGCACTTGAACACTTGCAGAATAAAACCCGTTATAGATACTTAGGATTGTGTTGAAAAGCAGAGCTTTTTTAACCAGTCCTAATACAAAGTGTAGCCAGATAAATGTACCTGTACAATAACCTACTTACTTGTATTTTACCAAATGTACAACTAACTTTCGTCATCTGTTATAAACATTGTAAATGCAAATATGCTATTTATTTACTTGAATCATTTACAGTACTTGTATGTATGCGCGATACTTCATAATTACACGAATAGAAAGTGTTTAACTTATTGAAAAAGACGTAGAAAGTATATACGCGCTATAACCGGTGAAAACGCCGATAACAGAATGCTGGTATTTTTTTTTTGTAAATAACAGCGCTTGCATGTGAGAAAATTACAACTGAAAATTCTAATAGAATTCTAGAGGACCTCTTTCTTATAATATATATATTACATATAAAATTACACTGAAATCTATTGCTTTTTGATGTTTCATCTATTTCAAATCTTGTCATGAAATTAACTGTAAATATGATTTAAAAAAACGGTTCTGATTGTGATATCTTTGATATTATTTTCACACCAACTCCAGGTGCTTTAGGTTGTTACTACAATATATTGCAGCTGAATCTTTTGTAGAATATTGTTTTAAACTTTTATAAACAATAACTTCTATTTCATTACACTAGATTATTGTCTCCTGCTATATTTTAGATAACAGAAAGAGAAAGAGTTTATTCTACAATGCACTTTTTGAGTTTAAAGGTATTACCATATTTAACCCATTAAAAATTGGAACTTGTATGAATGACAGTAAGAAAAGGGGGGAACAGGGGTCAAGTGGACAGGGTATTTCAATAATATTTATTAACTGAAATGTAGTCATAACACAAAGATGGTCATCTAAGTTTACTTAACCATAAATAATAGAACATTTTTTACGATTTAAGTCCTTTGAAGAGGGAAATAGCAATATTTCTCAATAACATCATTTTTTTTTAACATCAATTCAATTTGAATGTTGGAACAGTCTCTTCCCAATTGTGATTAACAAAAAATAACTTCCTGATCGATCGATAGATCACGATGGACTTTCGATCATTCCTGTTAAATATCGCTTTATTATTCATCCTTAATACATAACTGTTTACGATTACAGTTAATGTTCTGGCGTAATTTAACGAGTCAGTAAGGAGCTTATAGAAAGCTGTAGGTACTCGCCTAATTAAAAACTAATTTCTGACCCACCTAAAGCCGCCGTAGAACATTAATTTGCAACAACTACTGAAAACTTGCAATTATATGTACGTAAATTACTGCAACACAATCCCTATATATCTACTTAAATTACTGTCGATCTTATAGTAAATTGAACAAGTAGCAGACAAACTTTAATAAATTAAATTACATTGGAATCTTTAGCATGATTGTTTGGTAAAAAAAGACTTATCCGCCGAGAAAATACAACGTAGCTAATGATCAGAAAAAGAACTAAAAGAGAAAGCTACAATAAGCCCCAAAAACTAAAAAAAAACCTCAGAAACACCCGAGATAAAAATGTTCAGTCTCTCAAAGTCTCTGAAAGCGAGACTCGAGTCTCCGTCTCTCATCGAGTCTCTCTGGTGTCGCTGAGAGAGACTGTCGAGAGTGTAAAAAAAATTGTTGAGCGTCTCTGAACGAGAGACTCGAGTTGCTTATAGAGAGATCCTCATTTCGTATCCAGTCTCTTAACGAGAGACTCGAATCTCTCAATAAGTGGTGTCTCGGTAGACAAGTTCAACATAATTCAGAGAGACTCGAGTCTCTCAATTTTTCAGTTTTATTCGTTCAGTCTCTCTGTGAGGGACTCGAATGTCTGAATTAACAATTTTATCGTTCGAGTCTCTCATACAGAGACTGTGAGAGAACCATAAAAACACCTAGGCAATAACTGAGAAACTGTGAAAGACTGTGACAGACGCTCGTACAGACGCTGTATGACTCTGAGAGACTGAAAGTTTTTGTCTAGGGCAAACAAAAATTTCTGGTATCATTAGCAAAAGATGACGTTTCATTGCATGTATTTGTTATTGTCGAATATACGAGGGTGGATTGATAAGTTTCCGGCCTGACCAAGAAAAACAAGGTTTTTAAAAATTTTTTTTTTTTATTTCTCAACATAATCTCCTCCAAGGCTGATACATTTCTCATAGCGGTGTTCCAGTCTATTAATGCCATCTCTATAGACTGATTCGTCAAGCTCCTCAAAATAACCATTTACAGCTTCGATTACTTCTTCATTGTCCGCAAATCTCTTACCGCCAAGCCATTTTTTGAGATTAGGGAACAGAAAATAGTCACTCGGGGCTAGGTCTGGAGAGTAAGGAGGGTGCGGCATCAATTCAAACTTTAGATCGTTGATTTTAGCCGTCGCAACGATTGACGTGTGCGCTGGTGCGTTATCGTGATGAAACAAGATTTTTTTCTTCGCCAGATGAGGTCGTTTAATTTTCACCTCGTGGCTCAAACGTTGCAATAAGTCTGCGTAGTATTGACCAGTGATAGTATTACCCTTTGCAAGGTAATCAATGTATATAATACCTCTTGCATCCCAAAAAACAGTAGCCATAACCTTGTTCGCCGAAAAAATTGTTTTTGCCTTCTTTGGAGTTGGTTCCCCTGGTCCAATCCACTGTTTAGACTGTTCTTTGGTTTCAGGAGTGTAGTGGTGGACCCACGTTTCGTCAACGGTTACGAATCGACGCAAAAATTCGCTTGGATTACGCTTATACAATGACAAATTTGCGGTAGAAATGTTTTTTCGAATCAATTTTTGGTCGACTGTTAGCAAACGCGGCACCCATCTTGCACAGAGCTTTTCCATATGCAAATGTTGGTGCAAAATATGTTGCACACGTTCATATGACATCTTACAGGTCTCAGCTATCTCACGCACTTTCAATCTGCGGTCTCCCAGCACTATTTGATGAATTTTTTCGATCATATCTGGAGTTGTGACCTCAACGGGGCGTCCTGAGCGAGGCCCATCAGAGGTGCTCACACGACCCTTTTTAAACTCGGAAACCCACTGCTTAACGGTTGAATATGACGGGGAGGATGTCCCCAGTGTTGAGTCCATCTCTTTTTTAATTTCCTTCGGCGTTAACCCCTTCAAATAAAAGTATTTGATGACAGCACGATTTTCCTGCTTTTCCATTTTTACGAAAACCACAGAGGCGTCTTGTTCAGCGTGCTGTCAAACCTACACTAGCAAGGAGATCGGGCTGAAACTATAGCTACAAGCTATCCAAGGATGGTACTATAGAATGTCACCTCAAGGTAGGCCTAGTGGCGTCATCTCTTGGTTAGGCCGGAAACTTATCAATCCACCCTCGTATGTTAGTGTTTTATATTTGGGTTTATTTTGTTAATTATAGAGGTTTGTTATATATTAAGTATAACATTTGTTAACCTGAACAACTTTTTCTTTCTCCAAAGATTTTGAGACTTTTACTCTGGTAGTGTTTTGTATGAGTTCATAGTTTTCTGAGTCAGCTTCTAGTTTTCTGACTGCATTTTTATCATTCTGAAGCAATACGATTAAAGATACTGACTGAACGAATAGTTATTTCCTGCATCCTGTGATAAAAATCAAACGAACTTTTGGGCAAGCAGCCCCAGTATTCCAGGATTTTGACATGATAAAGTCACCGCCATTTTATCTAGGCACAACAGGATAGGACCGTTCTATGCACTTGTGATAATATAGGTTCAGTCACTCAATTTCCTGCTTTTGGAATGACCAACGCATTCGTGAGAAAATAGATAGTCGACTGCGTGGACGTAAAATGAATGCCGACAGAAAATAAGAAATTCCAGAATTCCAAAATAAAAATTTTTAGGCTAAAGAGAAAACGAAAGTGACAACATACGAAAACCCCACAAAAAATTTGTTTAGGAAATAATCTTATAATATAAAACCGGTCAAGTGTGGGTCAAACTCGCGCACCAAGGGTGCCGTACAAACTTATAATTACGCATATAGTTCGTCCATCACGAAAATAGAATCTCGAAGATTTTTCCTGCTTTTTCCGAGTTTGCTTCTGATTGTGTTGACTTGGAAGTTCGATTTCAGAGAGATTGCAGACCTACGTGTTTGGTATTTATTTCAACTTGATACATGGGGAAAACTAAATTTTCATGGCAAAGCAAAAGTTTCAATTTTCAATTGTAAATGACTAAATTAGCCGTAGAAATAGAGCGAATATAAAGATAGGAGACGAAAAATTAGAAGAAGTGATTTTAGATATCTAGGAAGTCAGATAAGTCAGGATGGAAGGAGTAGTAGGGATATAAAAAGAAGTCACTTCTATGCTCGCGAACGGTTAACTTAGAAATTCAAAAAAGGTTGTTAAAGGTGTATATTTGGAGCACGGCGCTTTACGGGTGCGAAACATGGACAGTGGGCGCCGCGGAAAAGAAAAGGTTAGAAGCCTTCGAAATGTGGTGTTATAGGCGGATGATGAGGATAACGTGGGTAGAAAAGGTTAGAAATGAAGAGGTATTAGAAAGAATAGGAGAGCAAAGGACTCTATGGATAAAAAATAGGCGAGATAGGTTAGTAGGACACCTTCTCAGGCATAAAGGTCTAGTCAGAGACATATTAGAGGCAGAAACAGGAGTTAGGAGGGGTAGAGGTAAACCTAGATTAGATTATTGTTCGCAAGTAGTTAAGGATATGGGCTGTTATAGTTTTATGGAAATGCGAAGTTTAGCTCAGGATAGGAAAGAGTGGAGGTGCGTGTTCAACCAGTCTTAGGACTGACGACCCTATGATGATGATGAGAAATAGTACAATTTATTAGGTAACTTGTAATAATGTCAATTTTGACATGCTTTTTTAAAAAACATTTCGTC